ATCAGATCTGGAAGAGATTCACATTTAGCCTTTAATCTACTATTTTTGTTTGTTGACTGTTGCTTTGAATCAATAGTAAATAAACGATTGAGATTCTCAGATTTTTAGAAAAGAAATGTGGATCGTGATGTAGAATGGAAAGTTGAGATTATAAATTATGTATTTCTATTTGTAGATATAACCTTGAGAGTTATACATGCGACCACACTGCACAAGTCTTGGTGGAATACTGCGTGATTTATATATTCATGCAGACTTTCATGATTCTCGGGACTGTTCATGTTATTGCTTGCTGGAGTACTTATTGGTATCATTAAAGGCATGACTCTGGTTGTATTTACTTATCGGTGTTTTTTCCTGTAAAAAATTATTGGAAGACTCATTCTCTTTTGTCTATGGCCAGACAGGTTGAAATTCTTTCAAACTCAGGTTGGGTTCAACTTCAACGTTCGACTACATTGGATTTAATTGAAATGAGTTGACAAGAAAATAATTTTTTTCTTTTTGTTTTTCAGGTGGCTAAGAGAAGAAAGAGTTTGTTGAATTACATGTTTTTTCTTAGACTGACTCAACTCTTCCTAAATTAATTTTGCGTCACCAATTTGTGGATGTTCCTTATCATATTATCTTCAAAAGCTTAAAAAGGTAATATGGTATTCATTTTATTCAAAAGATTTGTTAGTAATTGAATTTAATGCACTTTAATGGAAAAAAAATAAATATTGACATCTATAGTAGAATGATGAGATTTGAATATTTTTAATTGTTATATTTTTACTAATTTTGATTGATAGGTATAGAATTGCCTTCGTTTTCTTTGCATCTGTTTCTTGCAGGGCCGATTTGGTTATTCTCTATCTGCAGCCTTGGTATTGAAAACGATGTAGAAGATTGCCAAAGAAGATGGTTGCTAGAAAGATACTATTTTTGTTAATAGATCACTAATTGTGGATGTTTCTTATCATATTTTCTTCAAAAGCTTAAAGAAGGTAATATGATATTCATTTTCTTCAAAAGATTGGTTAGTAATTGATTTAATGCACTTTAATGGAGAAAAATAATTATTGGCATCTATAGTAGAATGATGAGATTTGAATGTTTTTAGTTGCTATATTTTTACTAATTCTGATTGATTGATACAAGATTGCCTTCGTTTTCTTTGCATCTATTTCTTACATGGCTGATTTGGTTATTCCATGTCTGCAACCTTGGTATTGCTAAGGATGATGAAGAATGCCAAGGAAGATGGTTGTTAGAAAGATACTATTTTTGTTAATAGATCATCAATTTTGTGTTTGAATGTTGTTTTGTTGTGGTGATTTACTGATTTAGTTGTTTTTTTTCTTCTGTTTTTCAGTGGTTTAGATCTTCATTAATGTGTCATGGTACTTCTTTGTATATGTTTCTTGCATGGTTGATTTGGTTATTCCGTGTCTGCAATCTTGGTATTGCTAAGGATGATGAAGATTGCCAAGGAATACAGTTGTTAGAAATGTACTATTTTGTTGATACATCATCAATTTGTGTTTGAATGTTGTTTTGTTGTGGTGATTTACTGACTTAGTTGTTTTTTCTTTTTTTTTTGGTGGTTTAGATCTTCATCAATGTGCCATGGTACTTCTTTGCATATGTTTCGTGCAGGGCTGATTTGGTTATTCCATGTCTGCCGCCTTCGTATTACTAAGGATGATGAAGATTGGCAAGGAAGACGATTGTTAGAAAGATACTATTTTGTTGATACATCATCAATTTTTGTGTTTGAATGTTGTTTTGTTGTGGTGATTTACTGATTTAGTTGTTTTTCCTTTTTTTGGTGGTTTAGATCTTCATCAATGTGTCATGGTACTTCTTTGCATATGTTTCTTGCAGGGCTGATTTGGTTATTCCATGTCTGCCGCCTTCGTATTGCTAAGGATGATGAAGATTGCAAGGAAGACGATTGTTAGAAAGGTACTATTTTGTTGATACATCATCAATTTTTGTGTTTGAATGTTGTTTTGTTGTGGTGATTTACCGATTTAGTTGTTTTTCCTTTTTTTGGTGGTTTAGATCTTCATCAATGTGTCATGGTACTTCAATATGTTGTATTCAATGTTTAGTCCTTTTTTGACTCAAAAGACTAAAAGCAAATTTGTGATCTCAAAAGAAGGAAATGCTCTTGAGATACTCTACAAGTGAGTACTATAATATGGTTTCATTTGATTCTCATAAATATTACTACCTCCGTTTTTTATTATAAGTCGCTTTGGGAAAATATTTTGTACTACAATATAAGTCGTTTTATAATACCAATGAACCATTAATGTTATTTTTCCTATTATATCCTTAAATATTTATTATTCTCTTTCCTTTCAATTATGTAAATATGTATTTCCAATATGATTAATGAAGGACAATTTTGTAAAACTATTCATAATTTCTCTTTTTCATACCATAATTATTATATTTCTTAATATGTGTGAAAAGTCAAAAACGACTTATAATAAAAAACGGAGGGAGTATAATCAAGAATGTTTTGGTTGACTTTATTTCTCTTAATTTTTATATATATTAAGATGCTCTTCCATTATTGTTTGGAGTTTTGATTTTCCATTTAACTACTTTTAGTATTAAAGTTGTTATTTTCTTTTGATTTAGTGCATTGCTCGATGGATCGACTAAACAGCTGCGGATGGGATAGATATTAAGTCCGCCGATGATCAAATTAACAATGCAGTGATCGTTGCGAACAAGGCCGCCACTGCTGCTAGAGTTGTTGTGAAAGCTGTGCAGAACAAAATGTATCCGAAATTTTGTGAAACTTATGTCTGAGATAATTCAATGTAAATTTATTTCTTAAAGGATGACATTACAATTGCAATATTAATGCATTGTAATTGTAGCTGCAAGTAGTGGCCATAGATGAAAGAAATATTTTGTTATAGACATGACGAGGAGGGAACCTCCATTAATAAGATGGAATAAAATTTAAAGATAAAGAAACAAATGTATCATGTTATAAATTATATAGCATTATTTTTAAAAAAATATAAAAATCCATGTGACACTCTACTCATATAGCCATAGGAGTAGAACAATGACAAAATTTCTCTTTCCATTATTATTATTACCATTTTTAGTTTAGTTTATATAATTTTTATTGTTACGTTTAAATGCCAGGACTTCTCTTTCTATTATTATTATTATTAATTTGTTTAAACAAGAGCATGGTTTTTCTAACATGCTGGATCTACTATCTCAATTCCCACATTCTAAAACGGAAACAATTTAATAACTTTACTAGTAAGATAATTATTCTAAAATATTATTTTATAATCTTATAAAATATTTAATTTTATAATAAAGTACTTAATTTTTTTTAATCAACAATTATTTTTATTTGAGAGTCAAAATTATTATTTTAAAATGTCAGTTTTCTTCTCTTTTTTGTTTCTTTATCTCACAAATTCTTTTTCTTTTTGTATTATTGTTTAATACAATTTAATTTATATAGCTATTATTTATTTTAATTTACAATTAAGCAACACATTTTAAATTTACATATGCATTTAATTTTTTATTTTTAAATATTTTATATATTTATCTCTTAATTTATACCCTTAAAATACAAATTAACATTATTTATAAATTAAATATTATATCTCTTTATTTCCTTTAAAATCATTAATTTAATGGAGAGAAAAATATACTGTCATCTATAGTGTCTTTGCTATTAATTCGGTTTAATGCACTTTAATGGAGAATATTTTTTTACATATATTGTAAAATGAATGATATAGAATAATTATATTAAGTGTTTTCAATTGTATTATAATATATTTATGCATACCCTACACTATAGCTCTATTTAAAGAGTGAATTACAGTTATATTTTGACATTAAAACTGTTACTAAATTTATTAATTTAGTGTATCATACTAAATTATTTAATTCAAAGTAAATATATGTTAAGTTTGTATATAATTAATAAAATATATTTTTTTAATCAAAATTTATTTTTAATTATTTTCTTTTGCATTTTCATTTTACTATTTATTTTAAAATAAACACGTCCTTTATTTAGATAGATATTTTTGTATTTTTCTGTAAATTAACTTTGTTAAAATAATTATTAGAATAATGAAAATTTAATATATTTGAACATTTTTAAGATGTTAAAACAATGTGTATAAGTTTACTAATCTGCTGTATTATAATTAAGTATTACATTTGTGTGACATAATGAATTCATAAATTCAAAATAGACTATATATTAAGTGAATATATTATTAACAAAATATAATATTTATTTATTTTTATCAAAATTATTTTGAATTTCAAAATAAAACAATCTGGTGAATATAATGTTTTCTTTACTCTTATATATTTAACTCTTCACTAGTAATTTAAGACACAAATTAGCATCAGTTATAAATTAAATATTTTATCTCTTAATTTCTACTATAGCTTTTTTAGGACACATTTTGAATTAGAAATAGTATATTTCATGTAATCACATTTCTATTTTTAATGATTATTTTAATACAATCCAATTTATATAATCATTTCTATAAGAAATACATATTTAAATTACTCATTTTATATTTAGAGATGCATACAGTATTATTATATATTGTATTATAAATAAATCTTACCTTGTTAAATTTATTAAATAATTGTTGTATGTATATATATAACCAATTATATAAATTATTTAATAAATTTGAAAAAATGAAATTTGCTTTTAATATATATATATATATATATATATATATATATATATATATATATATATATATATATATATATATATATATATATATATATATATATATATATATATATATATATATATATATATATATATATATATATATATATATATATATATATATATATATATATATATATATATATATATATATATAAGAAGAAGAAATATGCCAATTAAAATTAATGTTACCGTGTTCGCACGGATTTTTTACTAGTTTGAAGGATTAAATATCACCATTTAGAAAACTATGGGTTATGGGAGAGGGCGAGGACGAGGGCGGCCACGATTGGTGCCACCGTCAGCAGGCAATCCTACTATGACTGACCAACATACTGCGGAGGAGGAAAACTATGTGGGTGACGAAACACGAACTGAACTGTTGGAATGTGGTAGCCAGGCGGGGAAGGAAAAAGGGGCAACTGATACAGAAACCCTAAATCACTTGATTACTGAAGAAGCCAAAAGCGATGAAGTAGCTAGCCAAACGAAGAAACTCCGGGTTAACATTATCAATGAAAATCGTAATCCGGCGAAGGGCCTCACCATGGAATTTGTTGCACTAAAGATTGTTGATGGAGAAATGGAAATTCAAATTGAAGAAGAGGATGTTGAGAAGGAAGTGAAATTCTGGAAATCCGCTCTCATCATGTATGTCTTGAGTGTAGATCTAAGCATGAACGCGGTGAAACAGTTTATGAGCAAAACCTGAAACTTTGTAAAACTACCTGATATGTTCTATAATGAGGAAGGATTCTTCATTCTTAGATTCCACTCGTTCCAAGACAAAGACTTAGTTCTGATGAAGGGGTCATACTCAATCCGTAATCGACCTATGATGCTGCGTGAATGGAAACCTGATTTCAGTATGAACAAGGATATGCTTAGAACAATACGGCTATGGGTGAAACTACCCCAATCCCCCTTCATCTTTGGGGGGCACGGAGTCTTAGCAAAATAGGAAGTGCGATTGGAACTCCGCTGGTGACTAATGAATGCACGACAAACAAACTCAGGGTCTCCTATGCACGATTTCTGGTTGAAGTTGATATTACACAAGAGCTAAAAACAAAAATTCTAATCAGAGATGAAAAGGGGTGTGACTGAAACAACTGATTAAGTATGAGTGGAAACCATCATACTGCCAACGATGCCATAAGATGGGACATAACTGTGACAAACCTGCAAAGCCTGCTAAAGAATGGAGGGTGAAGGTACAAGTGCAGCCACAAAAGGAGAATGAGAAAGACAAGGATATTACAAGTGAAACACCAAGACAAGTGACAACTAATGAAGAGATCCAACAACCTGAGAATGAGGTATGGACGAGGATAACTAGCAACAGTAAAGGAAAAAGGAAAGGACCTGCCAATGAAGATGAATCTATCCAATGCCAAAATGGATTTGGAATGCTGGGGATTTTGAATGATCCTGCTAGCAGCCTGAACACTATCCAATGTTAGTTTCTTGGAATGTAAGGGGCCTGAATAAGATGGTTAAGACTAAAGAGGTTAGCTCCCGCCTCCGTTCTTTTAACCTTATGATCTGCATTTTGCTTGAAACTAGAGTGAAACAAGGAAAGGCTGACAAAATTAGATGTAAGTTGAGGCTTAAAGGTAGTTTTTGGACAACTATACTAATCATATGAATGGTAGAATCTGGATCTGGTGGAACAATGCTAAAACTGAGATAAGGAAAGTTAATAGCTCTGGGCAAATGATTCACTGTGGTGTCTATGATATGAGTGAGGTGTTCCAATTCTAGCTTACAGTAGTATATGGTGCTAACTGGTTGGACCATTGAAAGGAATTATGGAATGAGATTGAGCACATTCATCAGAACCAACAGGGGCCGTGGTTTATTGTTGGTGACTTTAACAATGTAATCCAAACAGCTGACAGAAGAGAGGGATCAATGGTGCAGGTGAAAGAGTACAAAGACCTAACTGATATGATGAACATTTGTAACCTCAGTGAAATGGATTCTGTTGGACAATACTATACTTGGTCCAATCGGCAGGGTGAAAATATCGTCCACTCTAGAATTGATCATGGTCTGGCCAACACAGAGTGGTTTCAAAAAATATATAAATGTGTATCTTAAGGCACTTACCCATGGTATCTCTGACCATGCTCTGCTAATGCTTACTAGGCCTGAGACTGTTGTGCATAGAACATCCCAATTCAAGTTCCTGAACTGTGTAACTGAGGTTGAGGGGTATTAGGAGGACATTGCCAAAAGCTGGACTGCCCCTATCCATGGCAGTCCTATGTTTGTGTTGTCGAGAAAACTGATTAGAACCCAAAGTGTTGTGAAGAAACTCAACAATCCTTTGGTTGGTGCTACCTCTTCTCTCAAGAATGCTAGACAAAAATTAATTGAAGCCCAACTGCAGATCAGGGATAACCTTGATAACCCTGATGTGATTCAGCTAGTTAATACTAGGTCTAATGAGCTTGTTTATTGGAGTGAAATTGAGGAGCATGTTCTTAGCCAAAGATCCAAAATCAGTTGGCTCAAATTGGGAGATGGAAACAACCGTTTTTTTCATGCCCAAGTAGGCAAAATAGTAGTAACATTTCTGAGTTGTGTACTGTGGCTGGTGACATCCTTAGCACCACTGAGGAAATTGAGAATGAGGTGCTGTCATTCTATGGAAGCCTCATGGGGAGTTCTAATGGTGACTTAGAGGGAATCAACTTGACTTCCATGAGGGATGGGCCACACATTACTGGTGACCAAAGAGCTATGTTGGACTGTCCCATCACTGAAGCTGAAATAACTAGTGCACTCAATGATATTGGTGACTTGAAAGCCCCTGGTGTTGATGGGTTTGGGGCCAAAATTTTCAAAGTCTCTTGGAGCATCATAAAGGAGGATACTACTGCTGCTGTTATGGAATTCTTCAACAACTTCAAGATATATCCGGCTGTAAATTGCACTCTTCTTTCTATGGTTCCTAAAGGAAATGGTGGAAATTGTGTGAAGGATTTCAGACCTATCTCCTGCTGTACCACCATTTACAAAATCATATCTAAAATCTTGACGAGAAGATTGAGTACAGTCCTTACCACAATTATTAACCAAATTCAGGCGGCTTTTATTCCTGGGTAGAACATCCATGAACATATTTTGTTAGCATATGAGCTAATCCAAGGCTACAACAGAAAAAGCAGTACTCCGAGGTGTCTGCTGCAACTTGACATCCAAAAAGCATATGATACACTGGATTGGAATGCTCTTGAGTGCATCCTCAAGGAATTGGGATTCCCTAAAAAATTCACCAAATGGATTATGCTGGCAGTATCAACGGTGTCTTACAAATTTAAGGTTGGTGGTAGCATTACTAGAAGTATGAAGGCTAAGAGGGGCCTTCGACAAGGTGACCCTATCTCCCCATCCTCTTTGTCTTAACTATGGAGTATCTCCACCGATTACTGCATCGGTTAAGGAAGATACCCGATTACAATTTCCATGCTAAATGTGAAAAGACGAAAATCATCAACATCAACTTTGCCGATGATGTTCTCCTCTTCACTCGTTGGGATGCCCAACCGGTGAAGCTGCTCATGGCTAAACTGCATATGTTTTCTCAGTCCACTGGTTTAGTTGTGAACCCTGCAAAGTGTAAGGTGTATTTGGCGGGGGGGGGGGGGGGGGGGGGGGGGGTTGATGCGGAGACCAAAACTGACATCTTGGATTCTACCTCATTTATGGAAGGTGACCTTCCATTTCGCTACCTAGGGGTCCCCCTCACCAACAAAATACTTTTTGCGCACCATTACATGAGTCTAGTTGATAGAATTGTTGGTCGGATTCGTCATTGGAGCTCTAAGCTTCTGAGATACGCAGGCATAATTCAATTGATTAACAGTACCATCACTACTATGGCGGCCTACTGGATGAACTGCATACCTTTCCCTAATCATGTGATAAAAGCTATCAATACGATCTGCAGAACGTTTCTTTGGACAGGTAGCGAGTCGAAGTCGATAAAATCCCCTATTGCTTGGAAGACGGTCTGTAGCGGAGGAAGGGCAGGTTGAATGTGTTGGATCTGTTTGAATGGAACAAGGCCTGCTTAGCTAGATTGCTCTGGAACCTTTGTAATAAGAAGGACTCCCTTTGGGTGAAGTGGATTCATTCCTTTTATTTCAAATATACCAACATTATGCAGGTCCAGGAAAAATATTGTATGTCATGGATTTTCAAAACTGTGCTTAGACATAGAGACATCATGACAGGCATGGAAGATTGTAACGATATGAAGGTAAAATACTATGTAGGTAAAGTCTATCATTACCTAAAAAGGATGAACCCTGATGTTGGATGGAACACACATGTTATCCAATACTATTGCTAGACCGAGAGCTCTCTTTACTCTGTGGATGGCGTGCCACCGTAGACTTGCGACAAAGGTGTGTCTCAAAAAGTTTGGTTTTACTATGGATGACAGATGTAAATTCTGCAACACAGAGGAAACGATTGACCATCTGTTATTCCAATGCCCGACGTTTAAAATCTGTTGGCAAGAAATTCTGGCCTAGTTGGGGTTTCAACATACCCCTTGCGATTGGCACGAAGAACTGAAGTGGATTATAACACAGTACAAGGGTAAGGGCTGGAGGAAGTGCCTCCTGTGTAGTTCTGTAGCGGAGACTATTTACGAAATCTGGAAATATCGTAACAATGCCTCTTTGGCAATATTGTGAATACCATTAAGATTAGAGATGTAGTAATCTCTACCCTTGCAAATAGAGGGTGAGTTAATACTAAAATGAGACATCATATAGCTAACCTTCTTATAGATTAGTGGGATTTTTTTTGATTGTTTTGTGGGTGGGGTTTCTTTATACCCTTGTATATAAAGTTCTTTATTCCAAAAAAAAAAAAAAAAAAAAATCACCACTTATCCTGACAAGTGTTGTTGGAACAGAAATTGCGTTTTCTTAAAGAAAAATAAAACATTTCAAATAAAGAAATATTGGGATTCACAAATCACACACAGTGGCACCATCCAGTCCACAAAAATCTTATACAGCAACCTTAGCCTTTGTGCCTCAATTTCCACGTTAATCTTCTCACAAGTTTTTCCTCTGAAATCTTGTTCTCTAAGATCACCAAATTATATTTTCTCAATAAGCACTTCATCAATCTTCCTGGACATGGCTACAGGCTTGTCCACAACCACTCTGCTTTCCTGGAGAATAAACCCACATCACATGTATATCCAACCCTCTTCCATTAGAAACGAAATTTCAAGAACTGTACCTGCTTCTGTCTTAAAAGACAGTTTTTCAATCAACGAAGAGAGTGATCAATGTACAACATCTTTATTGGTGAACAGAAGAACAGTTTTGGGTTCTGGAATTTCCTTGTTGGGTTTTCCAGGAGAGAGTTTGGCTGTGGTTAAACAAGGTCTTCTAGCAGGGAGAATTCCCGGTCTGTCTGAGCCAGATAAACAAGGTTCGTTAACTCTGCCTCATTAAAGATTAAACTTTTCCTATTGGTTATATTCTACCACTTGGACTGATGCACTTATAAAATCTTCAATGAACAGAACATAGAACCTAAAACCAGAAGATGATTTTATGGGTTTTAAGAGAAAATGAAATGATATAGTTGAGTTTATGACCAGACAGGTTGGAGGACGTATCGCAGGCCAGACGAGAAGTCAGGAGGACATGGTGTTGGATGGAGTCCTATTATTCCATACACCTTTTCAGTCCCTCAAGAATGGGAAGAGGTGATTATTTATGAACTCTTCTGTTTGATGTTGGAAAATAATCCTATAAATATTTCTGAGGCATGTCTCAACTGGTCCCAAAATGTTTTCACATTTGATCATCTAGAGTACATTGTACATTTTTTTTTGTTCTTATGCCTGCTTGCTTTATGTAAACTTAAAAAGCATACATCTGCTTAACAGGTACCCGTATCAATAGCGGATCTTGGTGGCACAGAGATAGATTTAAGATTTGTCAACTCTAAGGAAGGACGCCTGTTTGTTATCGTTGCTCCTGTTCTTAGATTCTCCGACGGTGAGTTAGCCTGTTAAGGAGAATATAATTGAAAGTTAAAACAGAAAAAACATGGAAACTTGTTTTAGATTATAACAATTTTTTACTATGCAGATCTTGGTGATAATGCTACAATAGAAAAAATTGGACCTCCAGACAAAGTGATCAATGCATTCGGTCCAGAAATGATTGGAGAAAATGTAGAAGGGAAGGTTCTTAGTTCCAGTGTAGCAGAGCATGAAGGAAGAACTTACTATCAGTTTGAGCTAGAGCCTCCTCATATTTTCATTACTGCTACTGCTGCTGGCAACCGCCTTTACTTGTTTGGTGTAACCGGTAACGGTATGTTTACTTATTCTCTTCCAAGTAGTTTTGCGGTATCAAATCTGAACTGTCATAAATAAATTATATATAAAGTTACAATAATTTATAGAAAATTAAACAATGCTGTGTTGATTGCAGGCCTTCAGTGGAAGAGACACTACAATGATTTGAAGAAGATATCTGAATCTTTTCGAGTTGTATAATTGGATTTTTTTAATGAATCAAAAGATTACCTGTATGCAATTTTCTGCACCTGTAAAATAGTACTGTAACGCAGAAATTTCTCACTACTTTGCCTGATTGGGGATTCCTGTAAATCAAGAAATCAAATCTGCAGAGTTTATGTACAATCAATATACCAAAACAATTTTGTTACATTACAATGCTTAGTCAGTGTGGAACGTAAATAATCTGCGCTATGAAGTTGAGCATTCTTGGTTGTTACTTTTCAACTTGCTAAGTATTAACAATGCTAATCTTTCAAGCTTGATCACAAAAACTCAGTGACGATTAAGAAAGAAGCCTTGTTATAGTAACTTTTCAACAATTTAAAGGAAGGGGGATTTTTTTTCTATTAAGTCAAAGGGAATTGCCACAGGTCTCAGTAAGACTTCCTTTTCTACCTGACTGTCCATTGTGTTAACCTTCATTGGTTTTCAACACTTCATATGTGGCTTCCTAATAGCACAGTTTTTACCCACCACAACACAGCTCTTTGCCCTCAGCTGAATCACATTAAATAGCAGAAGTGATTGAGAGCTATGAGAATATTAATGGAGGAAGCAATAGTCAGTTTGCTTGGAGATAGAACATAGTAGTATTAATTTCGTTACTCTATTTGTTTAAATATTATCATAGTTATAGTTATGTGTGATTTCAATCTTTAAATACATTATCAGACTATTTTGACTTGTGAAAAAATCAGTTGAACTCTAACACAGTATATAAATACAACATAAAACAATTTTCATAACTAAACTTTAGAAAAATAAAATTTTATAATAAAATAATTAAATTATTATTTTTAATAATTGTTAAAAAGACCTTGCTTACAGTTTGCTTTAGGTCTCAACATCCGTTGAGCCGACTCTGATCAACAACAGAGTTGCTAACGATGATTGAACTATACCCTCGTATCTTTTCAGACCCTCTCTCAATCATGTTCGCCCTTATCATTTCAGCTTTTTCCCAATTTTCTGAACCTGCATAAATATTCGACAGAAGCACATCGTGAGAATTAGCACAGGTGGCAGAGTCTGTACCAATCATCTTAATAACTTGTTCTGCCATTTTCATATCTGAATGAACCCAACAAGCACCAATCATTGCCCCCAAAATATTTTTATTAGGTTTCAAAGGCATTCTTTTTATTAACTCATATGCCTCCTTTAACCGCCCTGCTCTGCCCAAGAGGTCAACCATACATCCATAGTGCCAGATGTTTATTTCGATTCCACATGCCTCCATTTTAGATAATACTTCCAATGCTTTACTAACCAAACCTCCATGAGCACAAGCTGAGAGTACACTGGTAAATGTGACAGCATCAGGCCTTATATTTAACTTCTCCATCTTGCACAAATACTCAAGAACCTCCTCGCATTTTCCATTGACCGCAAAGCCCGAAATCATAGCATTCCAGCAGACAACATTCCTGTGATTGCCACTTTCAAATACCACCTTTGCATGAACCAAGTCCCCACATTTTGCATACATGTCAACCAATCCACTCAAAACAAACTGGTTCACAACTATTCCTTTCCATTCTATCATACTATGGATTTGTTTTCCAGCATTCAAGTCCCCAAGCTGAGCACAAGCGGATAAAACACTAACAACAGTAAACTCATCTGGCTCAAACCCTTCATCTCTCATTTCCCCAAAAGCCTCCAATGCTTTCTCACCAAATCCATTCTGTACATAGCCACCAATCATGGAATTCCAAATCTCCAAATTCCGAATTGGAATCCTTCGAAAAATGCCCTCAGCCTCCACAAGACTACCCTCCTTGCAATACCCACAAACCATAGATGACCAAGCAAAACAATTCCTTTCAGGCATTAACTCAAACACCTCTCTTGCAGCTTCCATTTCTCCATTCTTAGCATACCCATCAACCATTACAGTCCACATCACCACATCCTTAAACTCATTCGGAATGTTATCAAACAATCTCCTAGCCTTTACAGTATCCCCGTTTTTCGCAAACCCACCAATCATCTGCCTCCAACTCACCCTTGATTTCCCCGGCATTTCCTCAAACACAAGTGAAGCAGATTCAGTGTCTCCATTTCTGAAGTACCCACCAATCATTGCATTCCAAGTCACAACATTTCTCTCAGGCATAACATCGAACAGCTTGCGTGCATCCAAAACCACACCGCATTTGGAATAAGCAGTAACAATTGCGGTTCCGATGAACACGTTGATGTCTAAACCGGCTTTGATGGTCTCTGCGTGCAAGGATTTAACGTAATGAAGGAAGGGAAGAGAATCGCATGCTTTGAGTAACTGAGGGATCACGGTGGGGTCGTGTGTTGCTTCGTGACGAGTTTGCTTGTACAGAAGAAGAGCTCTTGTTAATGGTCCTTTGTTAGGAATAATGTTGTTCCAATTTGATGGGTTGAAAGTTTTTGTGATTCCAGTAATTTTGTGAATTGCTGCATTGTTCATATACCTTTTCTTTGGATGTTGTTAGTTTCTTCGACACTTTCCAGAAATTTGATTCAAACTGTGATGTAGTTAACTTTTAGAAACATAGCACAGTAGGATAAACTTATTTTGGTAAGTTAGTTTTGTTGCATTATGTTGTTCATTGCTATTTAATTGATGAATGTTGTGTATCCACTTAAGTTTTAATGTATGGGAATTGGAATTTTTGCTCTTTTCTTTTCACTTTACAAGTGGAAAAACACTCTGAAAAATCCTAAATTGTCATTAAGATTTCGCAGATGTATTTTTCAACTCACTTCAGTCAAAACGTTAAAATAAAGTCATACAAAAAATATTTATAAGGATTTCGTTTGAAGATATATGTTCAAAACAATTCAATATGCACTTGGGCATTCCTCACTAAAATGTCCATTTTGAAATAAATTTATTGTATCTTTTGATTTATAGCAACTCTAATGAATTAGACGATATGTTGTAGCTATACTATCATTTTTTGTTGTATAAATTAAAGGGTTAATAAAGTTTTTGATCCCTTTAAATATTGTAGATTTCATTTAGTCTCTCCAAAATTTTCTTTCAAGAAATCGTCCATTCAAAATTTTTTGTCTAAACAATTAGTCCATAACGTCAAATGCCACTAACAAATGCTTATATAGCATGTCACATGAAACCTTTTTTTATGATTAAACATACATGTGACAACGCCAACGTGGCAACAAACCTGATGTAGATGTTTCATAACAATTTCTTATAAGCTAACTCGTAGTTAATTTCTATGAAATAAACTTCTTCTTTTTTCCTTCGTAACTAACTTGTTACAATGAGATATTACTATTCTATGATATAAGAGCATAAATATCAATGTCATGTCATCATTCCTTCACGGAAACCAAAACTTTTTTGTGAAAAATTGAGGGATGTTTGAAAATTTTGACTGCCCTTTAATTTGTCAACGTTGTTATGCATGAGAATGTTTCTCACCAATTCTTAACCATTAAAGTTGAATTAAAAATTATATATAATTAAATGTAAGGTATATTGTGGTATTTAATGGGTCCTATTTTAGAGAAATTGATTAATTGTATGAATATTTAAAAAATATGGATGAATTGTTTATATAAATGGAAACTGTGTAATAATATAAAAAATTAAGTGAGATTCATTTAAAGAACTCAAGTGAGTATAATAAATGTAAATGCTCTAAGTGAATATAATGGATGTGGATGCTGCAGTGTAAAAGTACATACATCTTGTTATTATAACACATTAGATTGCAGAGGTCATCACTAAGAATGAAGTTTAAATTGTTTCTTTTCATGCAAAAAAAATATTAGAGTAAATATTAAAGAATGATTGAAGCAATGTATTGCATAAAATCTGTCAGCATTTGTCCAGTCCATAACAAAACCCATGCAGATTTTCCTTGCAATATTATGCTACCTCCTTACAAATTGTGGGGTTTTGTAGCTTGAATATCTAATTATTGTAATTAGTTGATTATTTCTGGACTTTGTTTTGTTTAAGATGTAGGTATATATAAGTTTTGAGATGATTTTTCTCGAGAAGTTCAAAAATCCATAGTTTATTCGTGAGTTCAAAAGTGCACATCTTATTATGCATATAAATGTGATTTTTTTAATAGATACAGTGAAAAAGTGAGCTTGTAGTTAAACATATATGTTATTTCAGAAATGGATTGTTATATTGACACCCTTTTTACATCCTACACCTAATTTACTGTTCACAAATATTTGAATAAATTCCTCAGAACATGGTTAATAGTGTGTATTTTATTGGTTAATAAAGTAGTGAAAGTGGTTAATAAATTATAGGTAAAATAATTGGCTAATGATATAGATTTTTGTGGTTAATGCAACTGTGAAGTTGGTTAATGCACAATCTTATATTTGTGTTATAAAATAAATTTTAAAAATAAATATATTTTGTTAAAAAATTAATATTTTAAAAAAATATATTATTTTAATAAAAAAACACTGTTCACCGTATAAATACAGTAAACAGTGCATACGGTATAAGTATTGGGTGTAAAAAATGGTGTAAAAATAGCATTTTTCATTTCACAATGGTCTGATAACTACATAAACTTCACAAGTTGCAAAAATATACTAAAAGATGGAAGTTACATCCTGTCCATGATTGAATTTTATTTTATGAATGAAATAGTTTTAGTATCAGCTACTTCCAATAAAGACTTTAGCTGACCCCAAATTTATACTATAAAAGGGTAAAGAGTAAGATAAGTATATTGTGTCAAGATTAGATATGTTTTAGGTGTTTAATAGCTCAAATGTGGATGATAATTCGGGTGCGGTTTTTTTGTTTTAGTATTGTAGAAAATTCAAATTTTGGAGAGACATCATCTGTTGAATCGAAAGGAGATATTTGTGATGAAGAGAATAAAAATGGTTAGGTAAGCAAGGTTTCGTTCACATTGGCTATTCCTAGTAATAGGAAACTTGTTCTTGATGTGACTGGGAGGGTCACATTTGAGACTGTTAGATCTTTCATG